GAGAGAGAGAGAGAGAGAGAGAGAGAGAGAAAGAGAGAGAGAGAAAGAGAGAGAGAGGGAGAGAGGGAGAGAGGAAGGGAGAGAGATGGAGAGAGAAAGAGAGAGAGGGAGACAGAGAGAGAGGGAGGGAGAGAGTTAGAGAGAGAGAGAGAGATAGATAGATAGAGAGAGAGAGAGAAGCAGTCAGATATAAAGTGAGCACTGACGTTTTATTCAGGCTATCCCCTCCTTATCCCGCACACCCTCACTCCCTTAACTCCCCTCACCCTCTCACCCCTCAGCACACACCCCTCCCCCTCTCAAGCCAAGCACTGGCCTACCTTTAGTAGCTTCAACTCCAGCCTTCTCTGCCTCAGCGTTTTGACTTTCTGCAGCATCACTCCTCGTCGCCCTTTCGTCCTCCTCTGCTCCGTTTCCCTCTTTCTCTCCTTCTTCTTCAGAAGAACTTGCTTCACTCTCCTCCCCAGCGACATCTGCTCCTTTTTCCTCTCCCTCTTCCTCTCCCCCTACTCCTCCGTCCTTCCCATCTCCTCCTTCTTCTCCTCCTCCTTCACTCTCTCCATCTGCCTGACCTTCAGGCTTCTCCTCTTCTGTGCGACCTTCACTTTGCTCCGGTTGGTCATAAACGTTAGCCACAGTTGTTGAACTTTGACCCTCCTGGACCTCTTCTTCTTCTCCTCCTCCTCCATTGCTAGGACCAGGTGACGTTGGACCCTCTGGAGCAATGACGTCACTTTCCGCGACCTCTGACCCCTCCTCTCCCCCTTCCTGTTGGGGTTCATTGCTGCTGACAGGAACAGCTCCTGAAGACTCCTGCACTTCCTCGACACCAGCGTTAGGAACGCTTCCTTCTGAGGCCAGACGAAGGAGAAACATGATCTGGTCGTCGGTGAGTCGACGTAAACCTTGCAGCTGAGGATAGAAAGAAAGATAGATAGATAGATAGATAGATAGATAGATAGATAGATAGATAGATAGATAGATAGATTGGTAAACGATATATATTTTTTAATTTTAGTAAGAGTTTTACGGCTCTTGCAACAAAATAAGGTCATATAAGTGCCGAAAATTAGAGGTGTTATAAGAGAGTAAAGAACAGATAAAAAAGCAGGAGAGATAAGGACGATAGATGTTTGATAGCAAAGAAGGAGCACACCACACCGGAGCACCCGCAAACCACCCACATAGATAGATAGATAGAGAGAGATAGAGTGAGAAAAAGATAGATAGATAGATAGATAGATAGATAGATAGATAGATAGATAGATAGATAGATAGATAGAACATTCCTGGAGGTCAATTCAATCGAGAACATCTGCTGTTTGTTAGTTAGGATGTTGCAACCTCTATAATTTAGCCGGCTACTTACCCCTGAAATGATTTAGATTGTGTTGATGGAGACGTAAAACATGATAATATAATTCAATACAGTCACATCTGTTTAATAAATATTATGATTTGATCTTCGATTTTCTTCGAGGAAAGGTGCATTAGACCTTATACTCTAATGATGGTCACCAGTATAAAGTGCCAGATCTGAAACAGACATTAGCGATTATGCTTCGCCATACATTTCTTTGAGCGAATACGCTCGAAAAACTATCAACCTGCCCCTGTGTGTGAGTGAGCATATGTGTGTATGTGTGTTTGTGAGTGTATTAAATGTGTGTTTGTGTGTGTGTTCATTTAAGTGTGTACGCGGGTGTGTATATATATTTTAAAAAAATGTATATTATCATATTGTATGTGTGTGTGTTTGTTTGAGTGTGTACGTTTGTGTTTGTGTGTGTTTATGGGTGTATGTGTGTGTTATGTGTGCGTGTGTGTTATTATGTATGTGTGTGTGTGTGTGTGTGTGTGTGTGTGATGTGTGTGTGCATGTATATGTGTGTATATGTGTGTGCTTATGTGTGTATGTGTGTGTGTAGATGTGCGACCACTCACCGCTTGTACATTAGTTTGCAGGTCTGTGATGTTCGCCGCGATCATGGGAAGAACTTGAATCTCCATAACGTTCAGAGTCTCTTGCATGCCTTGAGCGGGATTGGAGGGGAGGGGGGGAGAGATAAATAATATTATGGAGGGTGGAAACAGTTTGGAAATTGATAGAGGGAAGTTTAGATGATGGTCATTTTCTATCGCTTGCAAGACTGATAGTGAGTCAGTCAAAATCACAATATTCTGCATTTTGTTTGGATAAATGTAAAAAAATGTGTTGTGATGGTATATATAATGATAGAGGGAGGGAAGAGTGTAGAAGGCGGAGGGGAGTGACATCAAATTTCAAAATACCATGATCGTCTGGGGTTTAGTCATATGATTCTAAGCTCATTTGATCAATCAAGAAAAAAACAGACAAACAAGCAATCAATAAACCAAAAACAAAAAACAAAAAAAAACAAAAAATCCAGAAAACAACCCCAAATCATCAATGAAGTAAGCAAATTAGCATACAAAAAGTTATTTAATAAATTTATTATATAATTCGTTCGTGCACATGTAGTAGCAAATCAATCAGTTATCGATTAACTAAAGAAACTCCTCACTCCGTTCTGAGTTTTGAACTGCCAGTTCAGGACACAGAAGCTAATGGATCTAGAAATCTAGATAATTATGAGCACTGATTCGAAGAAAAATGAACGAAAGGAAAAACGCTGTCAACTCAACCACCTGTACCACATGACAACATCACGTGAAGACATCACATGACCACCACACCTTTATTCTAAGATAGATGCTTTTACGCCCCTGTCAAACCAATTGAGATCATTTAGGAGGTGGGCTTACGACCCTACCAATCAGGGCCAGAACTCGGGAATCGAACTCGGGTCTCCTGCGTGCGTAAGCAAAGTGCCTAACCGCTGCTACACAGCTGAAGCTGCATGACAAATGTATCCGAACCCATTAGGTAGTCACAGTACGTGACTAAATCACAAAACTAGAATAATAGTGTCTTCATTTTTAAAAATACTGTGAAATAGAAAGGCTATGCAGTTGGGTTTTTTTAAAAACAATTTTACAAGACACCCCC